AGGAAGGAAGGAAGGAACGAACGAACGGAAGGTTAAGTATAGTACGTTAGAATTGAATGGATAGAACTGTGGTGTAATAATGTTAGAATGTTGATCATCATCACAGTGAATAAGCGATCTAAGCGAACGCTGTAAAGAAAGGCCTGAAAAAAATGATTTCAGGCTTCAAAGGGAATCGAACCCATGACCTCCGCGATGCCGGTGCGATGATCTAGGATTGGCTTCATAGCTCAGTTGGTAGAGCATCGCACCGGCATCGCAGAGGTCATGGGTTCGATTCCCTTTGAAGCCTGAAATCATTTTTTTCAGGCCTTTCTTTACAGCGTTCGCTTAGATCGCTTATTAGGGACCTTAAGCTGCAGGACGGCAACGACGACGACGACGGCAAACATACAATAGCACTAATTGCGCTATTCAATAGATACTCGTTGGAATGTACGAAACACTGTGCATCTTTACCGTCTTATGCTAAAAGTAAGACGTGAAATGTCCTATTTTTRCGTACTAAAGAGAACGGCTACGCCAAAAGCTTATCTTTGCTGATTTTCGTTATAAGTAAAGCGCTCCCAAAAGACGACATTTCACTCTAAAACGGGGATGCTTATTGAGTAAAATACTAGGTTAACACGAAATAATAATACAATAGAAGGTTGAAGCGCCTCAATTTCGCCGACGTTGTCGCCCACGTTGCCGTCCTGCAGCTTAAGGTCCCTATTCACTGTGATGATCAACATTCTAACATTATAGTACGTGAACCATTTATACTTACCAATATACACAGGTTCTCTATCAGCGCACACACCAATCAACTTCACAATATTCGGATGGTTATACTGCTTCAAAATCTCCGCTTCTGCCAAAAACTTCTGCTTCACCAAATCGGACACATTCTCTTTACAAGACTTCACGGCCACTGGGGTATTTTGAGGCTTCAGTATTCCTTTCATGACGTCACCAAAGTGCCCATGCCCTAGCTTGGTCGTTATCTGGATACTATCATGGCTCAGGTCCCATTTGTCTTTCTGTTTTTGAGGACGGGAGATTGGGGTGGTTATTATGGCGTTGGATTTCTTAGTGACGGGAGCCCTGTGGAGCACGTGGTATTGGAGGAGCTCACGGAATGATGGGAAGGCGTGGTCTTCAAATCTAACGAAACCCTGGAAAAAGATGGACATTGATGAATACGGTGATTGCTCGAATGGGGAGGGGGCGGTGTGGGAGGGAAAAAACAAAATGAAATAACGAGCATTATAGATAGAATACTAACAAATAAACAAAAAAAACAAAAAAGCAAAAATTTGGGAAAACGATTAAAACTATAAACTAAACAAGCAGAGACGAATTAAAAAAAAAAGACAACAACAACAACAACAACAATAACACACACACACACAAACGAACACCAGCTATTATAACCAACTGTTCACCAGCTGAGCGGCGCGCAAAGCATTAGTGAACAAAATGACTGGCTCTAATTATTTTTGAAGCTTGAAAAAACGAAGCAAACATGTCGGTAAAGTGAAACTGTTTTCATTCTTCCATCTTATACTTTTTCTTCTTGTAGGCACGCATATATTTTAGTAAAAAGAAAAAGAAAAAGAAAAAAAGCCAAAAAGTTGGGTTACAGTAGCCTGGTATTGAGGGCCGGTGGCAAATCAGCAAAACACGCTGTGATTCGCTGAAACAACATTCATCGCTCAGCTGACAGTCAACCACCAGTGCAAAAGCAAAGGTACAAAAGACGTGGCCGCCATGTTGGTTGATCTGACAAAAAAGGGGGAAACTATTTTGTCCATGTCATCCACAATGGCGGCCACATCTTTTGTTCTTATTGGAATTACGATAAAGTAGTCAAACGTACTTCTTCTGTTTTCTGGATAATAAAGTGTCGTAGATGACCAGAATCTTTTGCCGAGAGAACGAACTCGCCAGGTTTCGTGGCGCTCTCCCGCACCAGGTAATCACCGTTATTTAATAGCCTCTTGTCGCATTCTTTACGTGGTATGACGCCATGGAACCACTCCTGTTCCTCTAGCGGCACGTCATCTGGAGGCTGGGGATGAATGACAAAAACAGAGTATCGTCAAAGATTGTTCTTAACCTTAGGCGTAATATTTTCTCATTTCAGACCACGTGTCATTCCCTAGAGTAAAACGTCTTTGTTTAAGGGATACACTTGAGAAAAGACATGTGGAACCGTTAAACAAAGACATGATACTCTAGGGAATGACACGTGGTGTGTAATAGCTAAATGTTATTCTCTTTGTCTTGCTCGTAATGTTTTTGCCATTTCAGACCACGTGTCATTYTYTTTTTTTATTTTTAACAGCTTTATTGGGAAAGTAATATTACAATGTGTTGAATAGGAAAAAAACTAATAGTTACCCAGAAAGAAAAGTCACGAACGGGACACGAGACCCATGCGAGGTAAAAATATATGCAAAAAATATAACATTGTACGTAATAATAAAATATAAGAATGGAACAGGGACGGTGGAACCGGAGGGGGCTTTAGCCCCCCTTTTTTTGTGAAATTTTAATACATTTCCACTAAACTCAGCCCCCCCCTCCACCTTGCCATACGATGTCACTATTGAGCCCCCCCCAATCAAAAAGCTGCTCCGCCGTCCCTGTGAAAAAATAAGTTCATTAAGATAAAAACTAGTGTACTTTAAGAGATTAACCTCTATGACAGGGACATTCTCTTGAGAATAAGATTCTTTGTTTTAGTTGTATCCATATTCATGTGTCTTCTCAGGCACAACCGTTAAACAAAGAAATGATACTCTAGGKAATGACACGTGGTCTGAGATGGGAATATTTACGCCCAGGTTACAGGGATCTTTTTCAGGACTTTTTGAAGGGTTCATTCCACAAATCGTATCGACAAAATTATCAAGGACATTTCACTGAAGAAAAGTCTTTGACACAGAGAAAAAAGGTTTTTCTTTAAGCGTATAATTACCAGGCACCACTGTTTGGATATTTTCACGGACAAACAAGGGCATTTCTCTTCCTCCTTCTTCTCTCATTCTTTTATCTACTTATCCCACAGGTAGCACAATTTAGATTAAAGTGAATGGTGAAAATAAAATCGGAAAAATTAAATAATTAATATTTTTTTTAATTCGAGATCAAGATAATGTCCTCCGTAATGCGATAGAGCACGAAAAAAAAATGCAGGGAATTTTGTACAGGGAATCCAACATACTCACCTCTTCATATTCGCCGACAATACTATCACTGTCACCCGCCGTCCCGTCGGGATCAGTTCGTTTTTGTTCGTCACTTGACAAGCTATTCTTGCTGTCAGAAATGGAAGACAACTTTCCTGTTTTCTTCTTGGGAAATGGAAGGCCGAATTTAAGTGTCCTAATGCTTCGTCTTACTTGTGGAGAGCTTTGGTTAAAGTCCTAGATATTGAAGGAAGCATTAGGGCACGTGTACCTTAAGATGGCGTGAAACTACTGAATGGCTGAATTTTATATCTAAAATGGCGGTGACGGTGGTGATACTGATGATGATGTTGATGATGATGATGTTAATGATATACATAATGAAGATAATGATGATAATGAWGATGACGACAATGGTGGTGGTGTAAATGATGATGACGACAATGGTGATGGTGTAAATGATGTTGATGATGAATGATGACGACAATGACGGTGTAAATGATGATGATGACGCCAATGGTGATGGTGTAAATGATGATGTTGATGATGATAATGATGACGACAATGATGGTGTTGATGATGATGATGATAACGACAATGGCGATGGTGTAAATGATGATGTTGATGATGATAATGAAGCAGCAGTAAGGGGGCGCGCGACGCGCCGGCATACACCTAAATGAGGCCCGGGAATAACCCGCAGTGACGGGGCCCTACAGGGGGTCTGGCGCGGCCGGGTGGCATTGCAAATGGTCCCTTACTGCTGCTATGCCACCCGAGTCTAAAGATATCTAATAAATATATGATGCATGAGTGTAAGAAGTTCAACAATGGGTGGTGTGTAAGTTGTCTAAGTCCCAAGGTCGTCATACCTAAGCCAGAACCCTTTTGGTGTTGTGGTAACAAGATGCAAATAGAAGAAGATACCTCTGCGCAGTGTTACGAGTGTGGTAAGAATATTCGTCATGCCGTGCCAAATGCTACTAGAGAACAGTATTATGCCAACGGAGGTCGTACGAAGACCCCATAGAAGAGAATAAAATACTTTAGGGAGTGGATGGGTTACATCCAAGGTTTACATCCTGTTTACTTGGATGACGAAGTGAAGAAGGAAATTATGTACCGTTTGAAAGAGCCAACCCCACAAAGCATGCGAAAGGTCTTAAAAGAGATGAAGTTAGGGAAACATTACAAGGCTATCCCTTATCTTTTGTCTGAGATTACGGGTAAGCGCATTCCTAATGTCCCGGATATGCAAAGGGCGGAGTGGTTGTTCTGTCGACTAGACAAAAGCATTCCTTATTACCCTGATACGATCTATGAGATATTCTATGAGATGGATCCTAAGCACCCGTTGTTAGAATGGATTCCTAGAAGATGAGATGCGTAGTTGAAATCCACCGGGGTTCTTCTCAAAGGAAATATCTACTGAGCGAGTTTTCTTTGTAGATCTTCCTTTGCCTCTTGGTAGATCTTCTTGCGAGATTCCTTGGAGAGNATGATGTTGATGATGATGATGACGATAATGATGGTGTAAATGATGATGTTGATGATGATGACGATAATGGTGATGGTGTAAATGATGATGATGATGATGACGACAATGGTGATGGTGTAAATGATGATGATGATGACAATGGTGATGGTGTAAATGATGGTGTTGATGATGATGATGATGATGACGACAATGGTGATGGTGTAAATGATGTTGATGATGATAATGATGACGACAATGATGTTGTAAATGATGATGATGATAATGATGACGACAATGGCGATGGTGTAAATGATGATGTTGATGATGATGATGACGATAATGATGGTGTAAATGATGATGTTGATGATGATGACGATAATGGTGATGGTGTAAATGATGATGATGATAATGATGACGACAATGATGGTGTAAATGATGATGATGATGATGATGACGACAATGGTGATGATAGTAATGCTAATAACGGTGTTGATGATGGTGATAAAGATTATGATTATTATGATGTAAATGATGACGACAATGGAGATGATGGATACGATGATGAACATCAACGTACCCCAACAGCAGTGACAGTATTGGGTGCWCCAATCAAGTCGTAGAACTTTGGAGGTAAATCATTCCCTAATTTGTCAATCAGCTCGCTAACAGTACTAAGCTTTTTCTACAAATACAAAACAAGCAATAAACGTTATGGAAGATAATAGACTAAATGTAAATTAATTATATCATCCCAAACTATATTAGCCCGATTCCATAAGTCATAGTTTTCCCTCGAAAGAATGCGAATGGAATTTCCCTACCCACCTGTAGTTTAGCTTGGGAGCATTTCATCTCTTCATACTGCCAACTGACTGCAGCAACGGTTACTTGTCGCTGAACAATGCTAAACAAAACAAAAACAAAAATATATGTTGTCAATTCATGCACAGCAATAACCCTAGTATCCAAGAGATTGAGGGTATGTAACGCATGCGCAGTGTCTGGATAAAACATTCGTCTTTGATCACTTTGAATCCTTTGGGTGGGGTCGCTGGTTCGAGTCCTGTAGGATATGAGATTTGTGTTCGTTTGATGTGTTGTTCTCTCCCTTGCCACGAGGGTTTTTCTCCGCGTTCTCCGGTATTCTTTCCTCCGTAAAAAACAGCATGTGAGTTAGGTTTTGTACGCAAAGAATATTGAATGTAGTGTGAGTAAGTGGGCCATTTTGGAAAACAGCATTCATACTGATTTTGGGAGTTGTTGGATTAGAATATCTAAAGTAGGTGCAGTTTGTGCAGGAAGCCAGTATTCGTATTGGATTTGTTTGCCAACTATAACTGAATAAAGGTCGTTATAATATTAGTATAGGAAATCTTACAATCTTCTCGAGTACAATTCGGAATTTGTAGGTACGAGTGATGTTTTAAAAATTTTCAAAGTTGGACGAGCCTTTAGGCGAGTTCAGTTTGAGAACTTTCAAAACATCACGAGTATCTGTGAATTCCGAATTGTACGAGAAGATTGTACGATTTTTTGTTTATAATACACTCCAAAAATTGAGCAAAAATTGGGACTCTACAATTTAGGAATTAATTGTATTCCTCTCGTTCAATCAGRATCGAGTAATTTTGTGGAGTGTATTATAAGACACAATACAAAGACTCCATATTACCATAAAACTTCTCTGCCATCTTCTTTAGCTTCCTTTAAGTTGTCCATCTCAATCTTGAGATCTCTTTTCTGTGTCACAGTAGAGGAATGAGAACGAATAAGTAAAACTAACGAATGATTGAAATAAAAATGTTGGACAGATGTAACAGACTGAGGTAGCGAGAGGAGACAGAAGAATGAGGGACAGAAGAATGGTGTAGAATAAGAGTGGAAACGAGAAAAAAGAATGGGAGAGAAAGCGCGAGAGATGAAAAAAAAAAGAGGAATGTAAGAAGAAACAATTGAAAGGAAAATGAAAGTGAATGGATGACGAAGAAGATTAAAAGATGGGAGCGGAAAATTGGAAGAAAAAATGTGAAGAAGAAATGGAAGGAATGATAGRATGTAATATTCGAGACAATTTGCAACGACGATTTTTTGTCCAAAGCAGCAAGATTTAAAAATTCGTCATTTTGATTTGCGAGATTTTGACTTCGTAACGTGTTTCCAAAGTCAGAATCGCGCTGAAAATCGTTACGCCTTGCATTTTCAACAGCATATTTTTTCTCTCGCAGTAACGTTGGGCCATACATCGTTGATGCAACATAGCCTTAAAAGAGAAAAGAAGCGGAGGGAATCGTCTGTCTACTGCATTTCTTCACAGCTCGCAAGAAAATGATGTTCATGATTGTATTGTTCGAATGACATCAAATGTTCCATGTATCGGACTATTATCTGCATATAGTTCTACATATACATGTTTTACCTACCATCTGTTGGTCTACTGTCTCTCTCTACCTGTACATCCTTTCCACTACTTGTGCATCAGATGACTGGGATTGTCTGACTTATTTTATGTTCCATAAGTCGTACTATTATCTGTATACAGTTCTACATGTACATGTTTTACCTACCCTCTTTTGGTCTACTGTCTCTCTCTACCTTTATATCCTGTCCGCTATTTGTGCATCAGATGACTGGGATTGTCTGACTTACTTTATGTTCCATAAGTCGTACTATTATCTGTATACAGTTCTACATGTACACGTTTTGTCTAGCATCTGTTGGTCTACTGTCTCTCTCTACATGTACATCCTGTCTTCTACTTGTGCATCAGATGACTGGGATTGTCTGACTTATTTTATGCACCATATTTCGTACTATTATCTGCATACAGTTCAACATGTACATGTTTTACCTACCATCTGTTGGTCTACTGTCTCTCTCTACCTGTACATCCTGGCCTCTACTTGTGCATCAGATGACTGGGATTGTCTGACTTACTTTATGCTCCAATTGCTGTTCTATTATCTGTAGCTCTTGGGATAACAGTGTTTTTCTGTCCAATAGAAATGAACACGTCAGATAAGAGTATAAGGCTTCAGAACACTGGCGTAAGGGGCTAATCAGGGGCAGGAAGGGGGGGGGGAAGGCTTTAGCA